ATTACATCTGTGTTAACTGCTTGTTGTGTAGTATTGAAACGAAGCTGCTTGAAAAGTGTTGTCCTCCAGTCTGTCTGCTTAGTTCGAACCATACTTCAGATGTACGTATAAACATATAAACAGTTAATAATATTGAAGCTGCCAATGACATCCATAATCCAGAGTCACAAAGAACCACGTGTCGCTCCGCCTACTGCTGTTCAAGAGACCGATTTTCCAGTGACTCGGAAAAAGAAATATTGTATTACAATGTATACCAATGATGTGGCAGTGCATCCAATCAAGGGAAACTTCATCCCCTTGTTCAACCGAACAGTAATAAAATAGCAGTGAAATGTTTTAACAGTGACAGAGAGTCCAAATTTATTCCCAGTCTGTTAAAAGATATAGCTCGGTGGAAAATAAAGAACAAAGGGATCTGAACGGGGATTTATTCGAGCGGATGAAAATATGAACTGTTTGCAGAGTGGAAAGGAGATTCTTTTGTTTCGCTTCTTTTTTCTCAATGGCTCTTTTACGGCGACTGGCACGCAGACGTTAATGGCGTTTTATCGGATTTTTCTTCAAGGTCACAATGGATTTTTGCAAATACTGGTGGATGAATAAGATCTGTAGCGGCATGAGGTAGCTTTATAGTAGTAGAATCGCTACTTTTTAATAGTTTTACCATGTAACAGCAGCAGCCGTACTTTTATGAAGTTGCATAATATTCTAACGGAATCTTGACTCTTGAAATTAATTTCCATATTGCCTTGTATATATGCATAATACAGTAATTTCGCCGCTGCTCCGATAGTTTTGAAAAAGAAATCACTTACAGTTAGGAATCAATATTATAACAGATTACATACAGGGTGGCGCATCGAAAACGAAACAGACGCATTTACTGGCAGCTCAGTTTTTTTTGGAAAAATGCTCAGACCTGTCGATTTTGTTTTCGAGAGGGACACAAGTTTGGCAAAAAATCACGTTAACACGTGCAGCCCCCTGGGCGGGGGTGACACCAACCCTAAAATCTTAAATGGAAAGGGGGGTCGAGTGATACCTTATTTTAAAGGTCTTTCAATTCCCTTTATAATGATGTAAAATACATGAGCTTCAGTTCAGTAGTTTTGAAGATTTACTGATTTAAAGCTTAAAGTAGACTTTAATAGGTACATTAGATTAGTTTGTACTTTCAGAAGAAATTTTACTAAAAGAATTTACTTAATAAGTAAATGCTTTTCTTTACTACGCCCAAGGTTTGCTTATCATTTTGTTGTTGAAAATAGCTACTGGAGCGTTTTTTTGTGGCAAAAAAGTTATTTCTTGAAGAAAGATAAGGAAACATCTCGCACTTATTTTAAATAGGAATTTAGTACATAGTTTGCGATTGACTTGACCGAACTTTGTTGCTCAAATAACATGCAACGCTTTATTACATAAATTAACCATGGTATATTCGACAGCAGAAAGAGTTGAAATTATCGAAATATTTTTCGGAATAATCAGTGCGCTAGTAGAACAGCAGAAACGTTTAATGAGCGACATGAGAACATCGAAAATATGTTCTAGAACTTGTAGCTAAATTTCGGGAAACTGGGTCAGTCGCCAATAAAAAACGCAACATTGAAAATCCCATAAGGAACGAAGCAATAGAAGTGGGAGTTTTAGGGCAAAATTCACCTGGTACAAGAACTTGAAGAAGACGATTTTGATCGGCGATTACAATTTTGTGAAGATATGAGTGAACGAATTATAAACGATGAACATTTTCTATTTTCTAGTAAATCGTCATAACTGCCGATACTGGTCCGACTCTAATCCCAGAATTTATCATGAGGCTCATACACAGCAGCCACAAAAATTAAATGTTTGGGCTGGCATTTTTTCGATCATTTAGTTGGTCCTTTTTTCTTACCTGGAAATTTGACCGGTGAAATGTACTGCACGTGCTAACGTGATTGTTTGCCAAACTTGTGTCCCCCTTGAAAACAAAATCGACGAGTCTGAGCGTTTTTCAAAAAAACTGAGCTGCCAGAAAATGCGTCTGTTTCGTTTTCGATGCGCCACCCTCTATATGACAATAACATTATATTTAAATTAATTTTAACCGTCGAAGTTTAGTTAGAATCAGGCCCCTGCAGAATGGCATATTGCTATAGATTGAACATTGTTGTGTTGTTTAACAAATTATTTTTCAATTATTTTCAAGTCACGAAACGTTTGTTCTGGTTCAAATAGTATTTAAAGGTTCAGAATTTGTGTTTCTTCTATTTCAGTATACGCTTTTAGAAGTTCTTCTATCATAACACTATCAAAATACCCAAATTAATTTCAATGTTGAGGCAGCGTATTTCTGTATTGTACAAATATACATCCTGACCTGGTGTTTCGAACGCATATCAAGACTAAAACCAAATGATCATGTTGTTATGCATGAAAGCACAGCGCTGTGGTGCTCCAAATCCGATACGCTCTACAATAACACTCATATTCGAAATGGATTTACATACAAATTGAGAAGTGAATATATTTCGATCAAAACCTACTGTTTTCTTTGGCGGGAATGAATTTAGCTGACGCAGGTGATTGAGGATACGGCAACGTAAAGACGCGATAATTTTAGGATGAGGGGCTATGACGTGACCAGTAACAACAATACTTGACTTGAAGTTTTTATTTTGCTACTTTCTTCGAGGAAATCCGAGGCTTATCAGTTTTGGTTTCCATGTTTATACAAAACATTTGTTTTTCGCTGTTGACCTTAAAATCTGCACGTCAGTCAAGACAGTCGAGGATTGCGTCATGTTGCAAGATGACTTAGCTCTAATTTCGTCATGGTGTTCACGAAACTGTCTCAGTCTGAATGTTTCGAAATCTAAAGTTATGACTTATACAAGAAAAGTTAACTATTCAATTTATGATAATTATAACATCAATGGTCAGGTTATAGACAGATGCACCTCTTATAGAGACCTTGGAGTCATGTTTGATACCAAGCTAACGTTTACTGAGCATATACTCAATATCTCGTCGGCTGCCACTCGACTACTTGGTTTCTGTATAAGAAACTGGAAGGGCTTCTCCAATGTTGATACATTAATGACTTTATTTTTTACTTTTGTCAGGAGCAAGTTGGAATATGCGACTCTGATCTGGTCTCCTATATACCAAAATTCTGTCGTGATCCTTGAGGCCATTCAACGTAAAGTATTTTCACCTTAAATGCACAGGTTCTTATCCAGAAAGAGGTTGTGACCATAGTGCCCTATTAGAGTTTTTCAATTTGGATTCACTGTCAACAAGACGCAACATATTTGCTTTGTCGTTTTTGTATGGCCTCATTCACAATAAAATTGACTGTCAAAATTTACTTGAAAAAATATGTTTCCGCGTTCCTAGGTTAGGGAGCCAACAAGAAACGGCATTCTGTTGTCAAGCTGGCCGTACAAATGTTATGACAAAATAGCCAATTAATCTCATGTGCTGCGTGATGAACAGTGTTACTGAATCGTGTGATATTTACAGTGACAGTTGTGCATCGATTATTTACTGCTATAGATCATACAATCTTATTTAGAATGTGTGATACTATAGATTTAAGTCCAAGAACCATGTCTCTTTAATTGTTATTTTTTTCAGCGTTTCCTGTAATTGGGTTTCACCTGTTGGAAATAAATAAATAAATAAAACACATCATCAGGGGCCTAATTAATTAACTTGACCCCTAGGGATAATAAGGAAGCTTCAAACTGAAATAGTCTATGGTGTTCCACCTAAACTGGATCCCTCACCTACGAGAAATATCCAAGGTTCTTAACTATGGCGACCAATAAGAAACCTTTATACCATGGTTGGCATGTTCTTGGCAATTTCCCGTAATGCTCCTCAAAGTTATTGCAAAAAAAACACGGGAAAAATCGTAACCTGTCTTCAGAAATGACAACAAGCAAGTAACCCTTCGGGCTCAGCTGATAGATATACTTCACATTCGGTAATAATTTTCTCACATAGCAAATATCACTGATTTTATACGCATACAGACCAATACACATAATCATCCAGATTCGATCTTGCTACTCAATCAACTTCCTTTGTGACATCTTAAAGATAAACACTACAGACTACTCGGCTTCACAAAACACATATACTTGCTTCCTGCAACCAACAATTCGTGACGTTGATTCATTCTTCCATAGATGGAGTCTGCGAGATGGCATTTTGTCGGTTCTTTTTGACGCTTTTTAGGTTTTTTACATAATAACCGCCATTTTGGTTTGAATTCGCCTGGTCTCGCAGGATAACTACGACCTTGGTCTTAAATTATACATATCTATGAGAGAGCGTTTTCCTTTTCTTTTACTCCATGCTAAAAAACACATTTTGTTAAACTTTAGCAACAGGAATAGCCGTATTTCTTTCTCCAAACAAACTTAACTGTATTGTTACCTATTAGAGATTGCATTTTCGACTTTCTTTACTACCATCTGTATCAAAATAACAGATTTTTGTTTCCCTATACCGAGTTTTATGCCAAAATCTAAAATACTTCTCAAGCAATATGGAAAAATAGAAAATAAAATTGTAACTTTGACACCCGACATCTCGCAAACTATCAACTCTTGGACTAAGGTATGTTTAGAGCGATTCACATATTTTGGTCAGTGGTATCTCCAGTTTACAGATTTCCCAACCTTTCGCAGACGTATATAACCTGAATCCTTAGAGAAAAAGTCCAGCAGAGCCGTCATCTAGACAATGAGGTTGTCGATGTTTGGGAACATAGTTTATTGCAGTTTGAAGCTTCTAATTTACAGTACTGTTTCTTAGCGAATAAGATGCATCCAGTCCCGCATCTGGTTACCTTAGACTTTAACCTGCTTATGGAAGCCGTGGTACCTGCGTATTCAGATTTCTGCTTTCGTGGCTGCATCAGCATACAAACCTGTGGTGGTTTATAAAGTTAATCGTGTTTATGGTAAAGAAGCCAATGTTTATCTCCCTTGTTTTTCTTTCAGTGGTGACGCAATCCTACAAAGTTGACGTGGAAGTGATTGGAGCAGCAAGAGGATGCACAGCTGTGCTCAAATGTATAGTGCCAAACTTCGTTAAGGATCTAGTTAGAATAATGTCCTGGGTACAAGAGCCTTCTTTCTACATATATCCCTCACTACAAGGAGGTGAGTAAATTATTATTTTATCATTGATGATGCAGTTCAACTTTTAAGGGACATTGTCTGAAGGACCCTTTAAAATAACGGTATCTGTGATAGTAATATTATGGGCTTAAGTCCGGCAGCACATTATCTACCCTGCTAAATTCTTGGTCCAAGTGCAATTTTTACGAGGGATGTCTTTTAAGTTTTGCATATGGAAATAAAACAACACGGTAGGTAGTTTTAAATGACTTTATTGTTTTTCGAAGTATTCTCCATGAAGATTAATTAATACACATCTGCATCCGCTTGAACCAATTTTCGAAGCACTTATTCCACTCCTTTGCTGGCAGATCCAAAACGGCATTTTCGAATGCGTCAACTGCTTCTTCTGGTGACTGGAACCTTTGACCACGCAGTCTGTTTTTATTTTCGGGAAAGTAAAGAAAACGTTAGGACTTTGATCGGGACTATATGGAGGATGCTCCAATAATTCCACGTTTTCTTCCGTTAAATACTGCCTTGTTTTTTGGGCTGTGTGCGAGCTTGCATTGTCTTGGTGGAGGATGATTCTTCTTTCAGGGTTGATTTTTCGAAGCTCAATGATGACTTTTGGCAAACAAATGGTGGTATATCAATCCGCAGTAACAGGTTTTTGCTCATTAAGAGGAATTGTTGCAATATGACCCGCTTTTGACACAAATTTCGCGACCAAACAGCCGACTGTCGTTTATTTTCTGGTTCATAACAGTAAATCCACTATTCATCACCACTAATAATGCTGTACACATTTTTTGAGTTTCCGGAATTGAAACGGTCAAGCGTTTTTTGACATCAATTAACCCTGTCTGCTTTCTGCTCTTCAGTCAACAGGTGGGGTATGCAACGAGAAACTAATTTTCTTACTCCTAATTCTTCATGTAACATTTTTTGAATTGAGGTCTTTGAGAACTTCAAGGACGCCTCAATCTCGCGATATGTCACATGTCTATCTTCAATGATGAGTCTGCGCACAGCAACGACGTTTTCCTGGGTGTTTGCCGGTTTTGGTGCACCCACCCTGGGATCGTCGCTAAGACTCACCCGTCCAGGTTTGAATTTTCCATACCAACAGGAAATTGTCGACTGATTGCCCAAAACAGACAGTAACTCAGCAAGATATTCTTGTTGCGATAATTGTCTCTGAAAGTTGTAACAAATTATGGCGTGAAAATTTTCGCGGTTGAGTTCCATTTTTCTAATGACTTGGTGACACTTAAATATTCACTGTAGTGAGAACACTGCACGTATTGTTGTGAAACTTTGAATTTAAGTTTACTAAAGAGTGAGGTTAAGATTCAGTACTGACGTTCGATCCGCGCGGCCTATCATGTTTCTATATGCAAAACTTAAAATACATCCCTCGTACCCGGCCTTTTTAACATAGAAAGACGTTACACCAGGTTTTACGTGATAGCTTTTTTGTCCAAATGCTGAAAGGCTAACTTTATAACCATACAATAGTGGCATTTGAGACAGGTTAGCAAAGAAGGGACAAAGACCTGACGGAAATCAGTCCCTGGTGAGTCTTGCCCAAACTTTGTAAATAAGCATCCAGATCAAAAGTTCTCATGAACATCCAAAAACGGAGTATTACTCCTACATAAAACTTATGGGTTATTATACATGGTATCTGATGGCACTTTTCTAAAATACTCAGAATTATACGTGGTGTTCCAATTTTACCACACATCAATTTTTTTATTACACATTACGATAGGCCTTTTAAAAGAAGAAGCTTAATATGACCTATTTATTGGTTGCGATTATTAGTTATTGGGCTAATGGTACTTTATCCAAGAGAAACATCAAAGTTTGACGACTTGCATATCTGCTGTCTTGACAGTTTGCAATAGTGGTTAACATTTTGATGAAATTAAAACAGAGGTAGTTAGAATTTTTCAGATTTAACCACCACCATAACCGTCAAGGTCATGTCAAGGTCAAATCTCTTCTTTTCAATGAGACACTCCATCTTTTATTACGGACATGACATAGGCTGGATATTCCACATTGAAATGTCTAGATTGACCCATGAGCTTTGCCAATAATAAATCTTGACCATCACCTTTAAGGCGACGTCATGGTCAGGTGGACTGTTTTGAAGGGGATATGCTACTGGTCCAATAGTAGTTAGTTTTCACTTCATTGATGTAGCATTTCTATTCGAATATAGCGTGTTGCTTCAATATTGCTTAGAACCCAGGAAAATTTTTAATCAGAATGCTCTGGAGAGCTTATTTCCAAATTTTGAGCATGCTTTTGGGACCGATTTCCGTAAGGTTTGTGCCCCCTCGTATGATTCTCATCACCTTGACAAACTGCAAAACATCATAGCTGTGTATTGATGTAAACTTCGTAAATAAATGTAAATATTTACTAAACGTATTTCCACGCTGGATACTACACGATTACGTCGGATATGAAATACTTCATACATACACTGACAAGTTTAAAATAGATGTGCAAGCACATTGTGTGATGGTAGTTATTGTCGACAGTTCCCCGTTCATGGAAAGCATAGCGAATGTTGTGGGGCAGACTTCATTATAATATACTGGTTGAATGGAAGAGCTGGCCAATGAACTGTTTGTTATCTTATTGAAATTTGCCGCTTCTAAATATAGAGTGAACGTGAAACAGACTTTCCTGCAACGGAAGGCTTCACATTTATTTTTTACAATTAAACTTCACCTGGAGGGATGCGTAAGAGTTGGGGAATAGGGGAAGTTTGAATTATTATTTTTTGGCATCTATCTAACTTACTGATTTATGCTAAACGTATACTAAGTGACATATAAATCCGAACACCCAGTTTAAATGGTTTTATTTTAATAAAATTTTGTATAAGTACTTAATGAAGCATAATAAGTAAATGATAAAAATTTCAAAATGATTGCACTGCTTTAAAGCCCTTTGACCTTTAATAATGTGTGGATGCACCCTGATGTGCTACGCATTCTCCAACGCGCCTAGGCATGCTTCTGATCAGGTGGTCAATGTCCTCCTGTGGTATCTCATTCCAGGAAACCACCAACTCCTCTCGAAGTGCTTCTAGAGTCTGAGGAGGACGTTGCAAATTGAGCAATCTCCTACCCATCATATCCCACACGTGCTCAATTGGAGATAAGTCGGGAGATCCTGGTGGCCTTGGTAACAATGTGACATCATTATGTTGAAAGAAGTCTATTGTGACTCTTGCAACATGTGGTCGGGCATTATCTTGTTGGAAAGCTGGATCTGCCAGGGTGTCAAGATAGGGTAAAAGATGAGGTTCTAGAACTTCGTGGATATAACGCTGCGCGTTCATGTTACCTCTGATGAAGATTAAAGGTGACCTGGAACCATAAGCTATAGCACCCCAAACCATAACTCCAACAGTGTGATGAACATGTATTTCAACAAAAAACTGTGGATTCCTCCTTTCACCACGTCGCCTTCTAACCCTGGCACAACCTTCGTGCATGCCTAAACAAAATCGAGACTCGTCACTAAAGACAATACTGTTCCATTCCTGATCCCAGAGTGACCGTTGTCTGCACCACTCAAGGCGATTGCGTCGGTGTCCTCGAGTTAAAGGGAGGACCCAGTGTGGCCGGTATGAAAACAAGCTAAAACTTCTTATTCGTCGGTAAACACTTCGCATGCCAATAGGTCTTCCGTATTCTGCAAATCATTCATTTGCAATGGACCTGGTAGTGGAGCCATGCCTGACAACACCTAACCACAGTGTCTACACTTCTTTGCACTCTAACTGCAATTGCCCGAAAAGAAAGTCCAGCTTCCCGAAGTCCCACTATACGGCCCCTATCAAACTCACTAAGTTGACGAAATCGTACAGGTCTCCGTACTCTAGGCATCGTAACCGATCGTAAAGGATGTCAAGAACCAAAATCCGCCGACGTTGATTCTTTACTGCCGCTGAAATATTCATTTTTAGAGCGTTAGTGAATTAAAAAAAGCAGTATAAAAACCGGAATGTCCAACTGATAAGGCTGACAATTTTTTCACTTGTTATTTACAGTAAGATAAATACATTCACCAACTTTTACTAAAATAAAACCATTTAAACTGGGTGTTCGGATTTATATGTCACTTAGTATATGTGCTAAAAGTTTTGGCACAAAATTCATTGGCTTTAATTTTAACAAACACAAAATAATATCAAGTTGCCTTTGGAAACAAAAGTTTGTTTACTTACTTTATTTTGAAGTTTTCGCCATAAGATGTCGTATAAATTAGAAATAAGAAAAAGTATCTGGGTATTTCTCAGCAAATTCCAAAATTCATGTTCTGAGCCATTGGTGCTAAGTTGCATGGATTTATCATCAATTTAACATTTTTGTTATATCAATAAGTATCTACACTAATATTTTAAAAGCAAAAAATTAGATAATAATAATATGAAGCTACTTTCGCGGAAGTCCTTAACTTATCTCGTGGCAATAATCAATGCCATGCTAAGGACCCAGCACTTCCCAACGGCGTAGAAGACCGCTGATGTCATAATGATTCCAAAGAAGGTGGGTTCGATATTCCCTCAGGATTACCGCCCCATTAGTCTACTGTCAGCTCCTTCTAAGCTCGCTGAAAAGGTGATTCTACGTCACCTTGAAAATTTCTCGGCAGACCACCATGTGATTCCTGACGTGCAATTTGGCTTTCGGTCTGAGCATAGTACGGAGCTACAGGCCATAAGGCTTGTTGAACGAGTAACCAGCGGGTTCACCCGTAATGAAAGTACTGGCATCTTGCAACTGGATGTCTCAAAGGCATTTGACGAGGTGTGGCACAAGGGCCTTCTCTACAAATTAATCCATAAGGGCTTCCCCTTCTGGCTCCTAAAACTTTTGAAATCCTTTCTCGAGGGTAGGAAATTTCGGATCAAAATTAATCACGTTCTGTCGACAATACGGCCCATCAAAGCCGGTGTCCCTCAGGGTTCGGTTCTTGGACCAGTCCTTTATTCACTTTTTATTCATGAC